AGCCTCTAATGCTCATATTAATCACAATACAGTATTGAAATGTAATGGAACTTGAAATTACAAAGGAAATAATACTTAAACACCAATGATTTCGGAGGTTGAAGTTTCCTCCTCAAGAACTTGAAGAAAATACCAAGAACAGAAATATAAAAGCTAGGAATTAATCTATGGAATGGAATATGTTTGCTTGATGAATTGAAGGCTTTATATAGGCTAAATAATGGCATATTTTAGTCTATTCCATCCCAACAATCAGGTATGGAGAAATATTTGATCAAGAGATGAGGAAGGTGAAGTTTTCCCATAAAAAATCCTCTTGCACGACCTTGTGTTTGAGCTGAAATCGTCCCAACCGGCCCCGGTCGCAAACAGGCTCGTTTAGTGCGAAAAAACCTTCCGACCGGCGCCGGTTTTAGGCTGACCAGCGCCGGTTGCAGCGCCCAAAATTGTACTTCGTCTTTCTTCCTCCGAAATGGATCAAAAAGTGTCGGTTGTTGTACCAGGATTTTGGGAATGTTGCGATATGAATTTGGACATGATTCCTTCACCAAAGTTTTAGCTAATGAGGTCTTCTATCCATTGAAACTTGAATGACTTGATTTTATTCATCCAATCAAACGTTATGGCTAAAACACTGAGAGGTATGCATCCTGAAATCCCACCAGCAACATCTGACTTTGTTGGTTCATTGAGTCTTGTTCCTTTCATATTTTGGCCATGACGTCTTCATAAAATTTGTACCTTATTGAGTTAGCATTCACATGAAACTTGAATAGAGTGATTTCGAGTTCTATAGAATAAGTTATACTCAAATTATGGGTAGAACGTCATTCTCTTGGTCCAAAAAGTCGTTCATCGCAATGTTTTATGCTCTAGCTCACATTCTGGAGGTATTTGCCCGATTTCTCTTCTTTTCTTCAACAAATACTTATAAATACTTATGTTAAACACAAGTAACTATAAGGGTTATCAAGCTGCCTCACCTTTTAGCCAAAACGCACTTAAAAATAAGCATAATTTCTTCTTTGCAAACACAACTTTTAGCTTTTCTAAATGTAAAAGCTGAAAAGTGCTTAAAAAGGCATTGGCAAACATAGCCTTAATGTCATGAGTAATAGGAAATGACTTAACACCATGTACAGGAGGGAAGCGTATACCGTACAAACGACTATACGGTGACTACTGTATAGTCGGTGGCATTTTTGTAATTTAAATGAAATTCACGTGTTCCGCTAGATGAATATTAATACATTTTTAGTGATCACAGACCTATTTTGTTGAGTATTAGGAGTCTAACAATGAGCATCGTGATCTTTGCTTCATATTTTCTAATTTACTTTTTTTATTTCTTCTTTCATAAAAACTTTTAAATTATATCTATAATCAACTCATATGAACTTCGAATTCAATATGCAAATCTAATGTGATATGGTACTTTTGAAATATGCATTGATATGATATTTTAAAAATGAGTATACCATGAGTACAAATTGAGCATTCTTGAATTATAAAATGAGCATTGGTATGTGGTGTGAGCATTGGTATGGGAATTAAAGATTAACTAAATTCAACGATTAAAGAAAAATAAATAAAATAAAATTGCAAGTGTGCGAGATTGATTGGTGAATTAAAATTAAACTAATGCGAATGAGCGAATTAAAATAGAGCTTGGTTTCTTTCTAATTAACGACGAAGGGAACAGGGATCGCTTCCGGGGTAACCAAATTTCTGGCAGAACATGCCTAATTACATGAATTTAATGTAATTGAGTCTAGCTAATCATTACTAAGTTCTTACCACTCTCGCGGCGTACAGTACAATAATTTAGGGGACCCGGCTGATCTTTCATGCGACAAGATCCTAAATTATTGCCAAGACGAGCGAGCTTACGGCCCCTTAATCGTTACTAATCTCTTAGCGAACGATTAAGTGTGTGTGAATGTGTCCTAGAATAAACTAGATCTCTCTTAATTTATTCTACAAGCAATTGTAATTCTAGCCGCGGTTCCAGGTTACAAAAGATATCAGTTAAATTATTCAAACACAAATTAAACGGCATTCATGCAATTAAACCAACAAGAATCTAGCCATCAATCATGATTAACCCCTTCATCAATCCCAAACCCCTAATTAAACTACTCACAATTCATAATTGAAGAATCAACAGAATTGAGATGAATAGAAATAATTGTCATTAATTAAAAAGATGAACTTACAAATAATCTCATGGTCTTGGAAGAAAATAGTGTAAAAACGGTGTTGAATTCGTCCCTAGGCCTCTCCGTAATGTTCGTAACCCCTATAAAGGGTTAGGGAGGCCTTATTTATAGAAAAAGATGGGAAAAAACAAATTCTGGTCGAGGTGGGATGTTTTCTCGCGTAACACAGAGCTACGCACGAACGTGCATATCTGGCTTCGCACGATCGTGCGTAGCAGGCAGAATGCTCCTCGCCTTTTCGTAACAGATGCAGTGATGCACGATCGTGCGTCTTGGACGCACGACCGTGCGTCCTTCTTTTTCGCTCCAATCTCTTGTTTTCTTGCTCCAAACGCTCCCGGATGCAAACGGGGTCGATCCAAATGCTCTTTCTTCATCAAAATTTTGCCGTGAATCACCCGGTGACCTCTAAAATCTCTCAAATCTTTCTTGAATGCTCTCTAGCTCCTCCCAATTGTCTCTCAAGCGCCGATTGCCGGACTCTAACTTCTTCAATTTGACTCCAAATGTAACAAAACTCGACCCAACGCCTGGTAATCACAACTTGAGCTAAAATTGAGACTTGCAACGCCTTAAAGCACGGAAAAACATCAAAATCCAATCCCAACACGCATCAAATGCGTGTTGAAATATGAACTTATCAGTATGAAAATCATACGTTTTTTAGTTGAGCGAACATCAAGACATTTTCATTGAACATCAAACCTCTGCTATTGAATATTAGAAACAACAATTGAGTATCATGATTTGTGCTCTCGTATTTGTAATTAACTCATATGTGAATCTAATGTAATATTATACTTTTGAAATATGCATTGATATATCATTTTAAAATGAGCATAACATCAGTACTACTGAGTACACATAACTTACTAAATGAGCGATTATACGAAAATAATAAGTTTTGTTAGTTGAGCAAATATAATCGTTTTGCTTTTATGATATTTACTCATGCACATTTATTTTACACTATAATCATTTTAGTATAACACAAAACTCATGTTACTAATTAACGTATAGTATTTAATAAACTAAAAAATATTCATTTCAAAATTAAAAATAGAAGAACAATACATTAAAAAAATAATTTTATAGAAGAAAAAAAAAAGAAGAAAAAATATTACTCATACCTAAAATATTTTATAATGCGCAAATTAAAAAAACTTACGTCATAAGATTGATTGGAAAAAGAAGAAAAAACAAATTCGAACTTTAACAATATTCCAGTTTATTCATTTGCATAATAATTGAATAAAAAAATAAAACATGTTAAAGAAAAAAATAAAGAAAACAAAGAAATAAAAAAAGAAAACAACAAAAGCAATGAAAACTTAAAAGCAACGAAAAAGTGAAAAGCAAGAAAAGAAAGTGAAAAGCAATGAAAAAAAGAGAAATCAAAAACGAAAAAGGAGTAAAGCCATCAACGAAAAGAGTTATATTTTTTTCTGTATTTCATTAATTAAATATATTTTAAAAATAATTTTTCCCTTAAATTAGCAGAATCAACCCATGCAGCCAATACTTAATTTGTTGTTTATACTCCATATTTAAAGTTCAGTTACTGCTGAACTTCATAAATTTCAGCACAATCAGCCAAATCAACCGATTTTCATGCTACTAAATAGGTTCTACGTGTGGAAAACAGGTCAAACGGTCTCTTAGACCACTTGGAGTGGTGTAGGATTAGGAGTCCAAAACGCTAAAAGTGGAATTTTTGGACTCCTAATTCCTTGTAGTGGTTGGCTATATGGGGGAGTAAAAATGGAGAAGGGCATGGAAGGGGCTATATTTGAAGGGTGTGTTGACTCCCTAAAATTAAAGGATAAGGAAAAGTAAAGGCGGAGTGGGGGTGGAGCATGTGTTGTGCGCAGGGAGAAAGAGGCCAAATGGCCCTTGTGTGGAGGAATTATTTGCACAAGATGACGTCTTGCTGACATCGTGATAGTGTCATACAGCACCCACAACCTTGTTTATTTAAAAAAATATTGGTTGATTCAACGGTTGTGATGATTTGGACACTGTTTGAAACGTGAAAACAATTGATCCATTAGCTGAAATTGAAATCCGACGATTGAAACAATTTATTTTATTTTTCCATTATTTTTAATTAATATTTTGTCCGAAAATCCTGTAAACAACCTAATGAATTTCACGTATGTTTCAATTTTAAATTCCATGTTTTGTAATGTTAATTTATTCCGTGTGTTTGAACTCACTTCAATGCTCCAATGTGTTTAAACTCACTTCATCCAAAAACGTAAAAAAAAGTATTAATGAAATTTATTTATTTTTACATCGAAATGTGACTTTTTTATTTTATAATTAATCAGAGAAAAAATTAAAAGGAAAACATTACTTATAATAATTTAATTAATGTTTTACTAAATTGATATGTAAAAAAACGTGCAGAGTGCATTTTATTGACGGTGCTGGAATACAGAGAAATAAGAGTCAAAACACTGTTTTCAGTCAAACAGCTATCACCTTTTCTTTTTAAGATCTTTTCAGTCACTAAAAAGTACTACCTCCGTCCCACTAAGATTGGGACGGGAGAAGGTGGCACGATTATTAAGAAAAGTGAGTTTGTGTGGTTGATATTAAATTGATAAAGTAAGAATAAAATAAGAATGATTTAGAGACACACAATCTTTACCAAATTTGGTATGAGACAATCTTGGTGGGACTCTTCAAAATGGTAAAATGAGACAATCTTAGCGGGACGGAGGGAGTAGCAGTTATTAAAAAGCTTAGAAAAGTATTTTTTCAGCTAGTTGTACCAAACATACCTTGCTGCAATTAATAAGATGAGAATACTGTTGTCAAAATGACGCGTTAATATGAGTATATTTGATCATAGCTTTTATTTTTGTTGAAGAATAGGAATCGCATATCACCTACTCTCGTTTTCGTGGCGCGCAAAATCAATCAGCGGTGATGTCGACAGTGAGTGTTCCGATGTGTGTGCCTCCGGTTGAACAAGACTGTGAGCAACTCCGAGCTGCCTTCAAAGGTCCTCTCTTTCGATCATTTTCCTAGTTTTCAATCTCATTCTTTCTCTCGTTCTGGTCTGGTTTCAAGTTTTTTCTTCATCGCTACAGATCCTGATTCCCGATCGAAGGATATATAATATCTCGATTTTTCATATATTCATTAAATTTTCCTGTTTTGTTTTGGTGAAAATGAAAACAGAACCGATCTGATTCTTTGTCATCAGTAAACGATTAATTCAAACGAATCATATAGGCTATCTGGCTGATCGACCAGATCCATTCTTCCCTCCTTTTAGATCCTATTGTTATTGATATTATTTCTGGATAAAACTCACTGCTCTTGTCACGCAGGATGGGGAACAAATGAGAAGTTGATCATATCAATTTTGGGTCACAGGAATGCTGCCCAGCGCAATTCGATCCGGCAGGCTTACGCTGAAACCTATGGTGAAGACATCCTCAAGGAGTTAAACAAGGAGCTCTCAAATGACTTTGAGGTACTCGTCAAATCAAATTTGAATCATATTGAATTTGCTTTTATAGTCCAATCCAATCTCTTCATTGGTTTCCTACAATTAACAAGTTATTATAACTCTTGCTGCTTCAGAAAATTGTAGTGCTCTGGACACTGGACGGTCCGGAACGTGATGCCCTTTTGGCCAATGAAGCAACTAAGAAATGGACAGCAAGCAATCAAGTGCTTGTGGAGATTGCCTGTACAAGGTCACCTAAGGAGTTGATTGCTGTCAGAGAGGCTTATCATGCTCGTTTCAAGAAGTCCCTTGAAGAAGATGTTGCACAACACACAACTGGGGACTACCGCAAGGTATTATTCACCCCATTGATCAGTAGTATTACATTATTAAGGGGCTATGTTGAACACCTAGCCGAAATGCCAACAAGCTGGAGATAAGCTAGTGGCCCGGAGATAAAAGTAAAAGTGTAGTTGTGGTAAGCCATAGGAGTCATTTGCGGAAGATCAAATTGATATTCGATCTACTGCAAAACCCTGAAGGTCTCTGTCAATGACATTTTTCAGTTCTTCCGTGTAATCATCAAGAGTAGAAAAAATAAAAAGGCGAAATCTTTTATGAGAAGCTATAGACCAACAAAAACACATAACTTTATTTGGAGCTTAAAATTAGCTATAAGCCTCCAACTCAAGCTCTAGCAAGCACAAACGAATTACGGAGTAAGATTTATTTAGTTTAAAAGTAACTTAATAGCATGAACTTGGCATTGAAACTAATTAGAGTAAACAAGTAGTAATTTGTGATATTATTAAGCATCAACTTTTATTCCATTTCCCAGCTTTTGGTGCTTTTGGTGAGCTCATACCGCTATGGAGGCGATGAGATCAATATGACTCTTGCTAAACATGAGGCTAAATTGTTGCACGAGAAGATATCAGACAAGTGCTATGCTGATGATGATGTCATTAGGATTCTGGCTACAAGGAGCAAATGCCAAATCAATGCCACCTTGAATCACTATAGAGATGAATATGGACAAGATGTCCTCCAGGTACGTTGCACATGCATCTCATATCATATTCTATGATGGGGGAATAGGAGTTTGCACTCCACTTTTGTATCCAAAATTAAGTTCTCACCCTATTTTTAAAATCCATAATATTTTCACCCCTAGGTTTGAAAAATCTGTCGATGAAAGATGGAGTGCAAATTGTCATATTTGGGGTTGCAAATATTAGTGATTTCATGAATGAGTGTGTAAAGTCATATTTGGATGAAAAAGTGGGGGTACAAAGTACAAACTCTAATAATCCCTTCTAAGATGGTTTGAGAAAACATCCATATTTTATCCACAGGACTTGGAAGGGGATGGAAAAGACGAGTTCCTTTCCATACTAAGAACATCAATCCAATCTCTTCTCTACCCTGAGAAGTACTTTGTGGAGGTACTTCGGGGTGCAATCAACAAAAGAGGCACAGATGAAGGTGACTTGACAAGAGTTATTGCAACCAGAGCTGAGGTTGATATGAAGGTCATTCTGGAGGAATTCCAGAAAGTGAATAGTATCCCTTTAGATCTCGCCATTGCTAAAGACACCCGTGGTGATTATGAAGATATGCTCTTGGCTTTGCTTGGCCATGATGATAATTGAAGAATATCACACATCTCATCTCAATAATAATGATTATTCCCAGAGTTTCCCTTGAAGCTTTTTCAATATAGCGCTTTATATGTGATTTATCGTGCGTGTTTCGAGTGCTTTTTTAAAAAACAATGTGGTTCAAGAACTCGATTTCTGTTATACGAAGCATCTTGTTAACTATTGCATAGTTATATGTGTTTTCATCTTGTCAAAATTTTATTAAATCTATTCAGCAATATCTCATAGCCCTGTAACGAAACTCTGCCAGCCGGTGAGCCGGCTCCTTCCCCTGCTGTAAGTGTCACTGCGTGTCACGATTGTGTCGGAGACCCCAAATCGTTCTCACCCCTTTTTGGTCAGCAACCGTTGGGTTTTGTCGCCAATCCCAGCCGCTCCCATACCCATTGCAGGCACATGAGTTCCCATCCATAGAATTGAAATCCCTGATGAGACATAGATGTCGCCCTCTCGCTGCCAATCATCCATCTTCCTAACTCCTAAGTATTCCTACCAGGCTACCATCCTTTTACGTAGTTATTATTGTTATATTTCAGTAAAATCATCAAATAAGCCCTCATATTCAATATTTATATCATCCAATCAAGCATTCTAGCTTTTAAATAACGCTCAAATTTGGCATTCACTCACTAAATAACCAGTTACCATTTAATATGCACATGTGGTGACCCACATGGCCATTTTTACTCTGTTTTTCTTTTTTTTTTTTCCTTCGCTCTCCTATCTTTGTCAGATCAACTGCTATTTTTAAAAGACCAACCCGGACTCGTCGGGTCAACCCGGAACCCAGTGACCTTGACCAACCTGAAAATAGACACATGTAGCTCTTGAATGCGGCAACAATGGCGTTAAGGTTGATGATGTGTACTCTCTCATCACTTGTCATCGACAAATAAGTCTTATTTTAGAATTAATTAATTAGATTATGTGTATTAAAGGTAGAAAATTAATGTTTACTCCTATTGAAGGAAGTTTTAAGTTTTACTCATATTAGTGCAATTATTTTTATGTTTACTTTTATGTGGGGCAATTTCGCTTGTCATACCTTCTCATCGCAATTGCGACAACAACAATTCTAAAATATTTTTTAAAATATTATCAAAACAAAAAAAACTTTAAACATAAATAAAAAATAGATAAAACAAATTAAAAAATATAAAAAACATGGAGGCCTTTTCCGCAACCCGGTCACCGCTAAGCAATGCCACCTCCGATCGACGAAGAAATGCCAATTTGGGTAAAATCTACCATTTTTTCTTGGAATTTTATCAATTCAGGACCTGAAAGATAGATGAATTATCAATCCGGGACCCGAAAGATAAAATGTACCGGTATAGGACCCGAATGATGTAAAATTATCAATTTAGAACCTAACATTCCATAGGTTTTGATTATTTAATTTTTTTTGTTAATTCCATTGCTAATTTTGATAAACTTTTTTTTCACAAAAGTGTATTAGTTTAATAAAATTAAATAATATTTTAAAAATAAAAATAATAATAATATCATGACAACTCAGTCCTAGATTGATAGTTTTCAATCATTGAGGTCCTAAATACCGATTGTTTTCTTCTCTCTAGGGTTGCCGCTCGGCTCTTAGTGTAGTTTTTCGTTCTTTCCGGCTTCATTCATCGTGGACGAAGTGTGGCGCGAGGCATCGGCGGGGTCTAGCAGCAGCATAGGCGACGTGACCTGGTGCGAGGCTGGGTTGAGGGCGTCGTCGACAACGGCGTTTTTGGCAGAAGATTGATTCATTTGAAGAGTTCGGCGGACAAACGCAGAAGACCGAAGGCAGTGTTTCTCTTTGGCGGCAGAAGACCGAAGGTAGTGTATTTGTGTTTGGCTTCGGTGATTTTTTATGGAAGATTTCGTGGATTGACACAAGAAGATAGCAATCGGAAAAGGACAGCGAACTTCCGAACGAGAAGAGGGATGAATTTTCGGTGGTGGGAGTCATTATCACGGATCGTCCCCCTTCTGAACCGCCGCCGTGGAGTGAAGGAGAGTCTAGGGTCCGGAAACCCGTTAGAGCCGAGGGATAACTATTTCTAATTTGGAAAAATTTCCGGGATATGACTAAAACAAAGTGAGTTTCTCAAAATGTGACTAGTTATATTTTCTTCCCGAAGTATGACCAAAAATTGAAAAAAAAAAAGATACTTTCGTTATATTAAATTGTGGAAGGACAAGAATACAATTTTTTAAAAAATATGCATTTTACACTAATTTCGTCCGGGTAAAAATAATGCAATTTATGAAGGTGTCATTGCACTACATTTATTGCACTTTATGTCGATATTCACTGCACCACATAACAAAAATATTATGAATTTAGCGTTTTTTAGATTTCATAACTTTAGTTTTTAGATCTAGTTAAATATAATGCACTTCATGGTGAAGTTATAACACAATATTACATAAAATGCTATGAATTTATAGACTTTTTTCATGTCATTTTTAATGCACTTCTTTTCATGTCATTGCACGTTTACATTATTGCACTTCTTGCCATATCATTGCAATTTGTGCCATAACTCATTGCACTTCTTGTGATGTTCATGGCATTAAATATAAATTATTCACGGCAAATTATCTTTCATTGTCTTCAACCTAGGGTTCGTCTTCAACCTCGGTCCGCCATCAACCTGGCCGCTTTGACTGAAGAATTTGAGTTCTTGGAGCGGCGGAGGGGCGCAGCATAGCGGCAACGACTTGGAGTGCGGTTGGCAGCGACCATGGAGGGGGGCTGGTTTGGCAGCGACAGGGAGGTATCTGAGACAGTGTTGGCGAAGAGGGATCGGGATGACGGCGTCGCTGATGGCTTGGGATGGCAGTGACACGCGGGTCTAGGGATGGAGGTTGCGTGCTGCGAGTTCGATTTTTGGCGATGCCTGCAACAAACTAGTGAGGGATTGGGGGTGGCTGTGAAACCTGCGAGTAGATGGACTGGTGGCGGCGGCGGATGGTGAGACGGCAGCAGCAAGGCGTGCGGGGAGCGTAGGAAGCCAGAGATCTTTTGCGTCTAGTTGCTAGGGTTGGAGAAAAAGCGTAGGAGCTTAAGGTTTTTGTTGGGATATATTATCCCGGCTTATTACTGTTCAGGAGCCGAAGACATTATCCAGTACGGAGCCCGAGAAGCTAGGCCCGTTTTGGCCCATTCTGGCCCACTTTAGCCATTTGGGCCCATTCCGGTCCATGTGGCCCATTAGGGTGGATTATTTCCCCATCCCCTTTCTCTATAAATAGGGAGCTTAGCCTCCATGTAAAGGATCCCTTCTTTCTTCCTTCTCACTAGAATAGCTTAGAACTCCATTAATGGGAGCTTCAATACTTGTACTATGTAATGGTGATGAGAGACTAATGAGAATGAGAGGGCTTGGACATTAGCCTAAAAAGTCCCGTGGTTTTCTCCCTTTCGGGTTTCCACGTAAAAACTGAGTGTTCATACATATATTTACTATATCGTGTTGGATTAAACTCAACACTGGCGCCGTCTGTGGGAATCTGTCCAAAAAGATTCATGTGTTCTACACAAATTTCGTGGGTTCGTTTCCCACAGACGGCGCCAGTGTTGAGTTTAATCCAACACGATATAGTAAATATATGTATGAACACTCAGTTTTTACGTGGAAACCCGAAAGGAAGTAAACCACGGGACTTTTTAGTCCAATGTCCAAGCCCTCTCTTTCTCATTAGGACTTTCCTCACCATTACACAATACAATTTGAGCTCCCATTAATGGAGTCTTGCAAAACTATTCTAGGGAGAAGAAGAAGCATTGGGAAGAAGGAAAAGCCCCCTTTACATGGAGGCTAAGCTCCGTATTTATAGGGGAAGGGGAGAAGGGGATCTCCACCCTAATGGGCCAAACGGGCCGATATCGGGCCTGGTGGTCAGAGTGGGCCGGATAGGCCGAAATGGGCCTAGCTGCTCGGGCTGCGTACTGAGTAAAGTCTTGGGCCCCTGAACAGTAATAGGCCGGGATAATATATCCCAACAGTTTTATAGATATAACATAAAGTGTATATTTGTCCATAGAAATAGTTTAATTATTTATTAATTACGAATTTTAATTAAATAATACAAATTTAGGTAATATTTTGAGAAAAAAACTAGTTTGGTCATAGATTGGGAAAGTGAAAGTGTTTAAGTCATATGGGGGATGATTATTTCTTCTAATTTAGGGTCAAATCGTTATATGTTTCAATTTTATCACGAGACCTACCTTGATAGGGTTCTCCATGAGGAACCTTAATTGTTTGACCAAAATCTTATTGTTGTTCGTAAACTTGAGCAAGTGATCTCCCTTTATCTATTCCGTTGAATAGGGCGGATTTTAGGGTGCAAATCCATGGGCTAACCATGGGATACTTCAATTTGAACGTAGATGAAAGAATTGGTAATCACTTAGGATCATTTCTTAATAAAGTTCAAGTGTTCTCCTTTAAAAAATGTAAAATTATCAATTTTGCAAATAAAAAGAAATGGAGGATAATTGACGTGCACTTTGTCGTGAGTGCACTCAAAATAAATCGATACTAACACTTATACGTAGTATAGGTGAAGTAGAGTTCGTATCCACAGGGAAAGGAATAACTTTCTTTTTATATAAGTAGTAAGTAAAGGGGGGTTTTGATTTTGAGTGATTTAATTTAATTAAACACGAAAATGAACGAGTTATATGGGATTAAATTCAAGAATAAAAGGGACTTGGTCTTGCTACTTTCCACTTGTTGATATATTTTAGTCGATCATTGTTATATCTATAACTTATCCCCTCTCGAATACTCAATCGAGGAGTATATCCAATTCATCGAGGGTAGTTATTAACAACGACCGTTCATTAATAACCCTTACTATTAATCAAATATAGAACAACGTCGTATACCGATATAATGGTAGCATTTAACCTCTTTAACTCCTAGATGAAATCAATTGAGATTGATAACCTCAACACAACGGTTTCAGTTTAACCAACAAAATTAATCCCTCTTGAGTTTATTAACCACGACCGTGCATTAATAAACCGAAGTTACTTACTTGTGAAACCATCAACGATTAACCATCGGTTCGTCGATCGTTTCAAGTAATAATCAATGTTGGAACGTTAACTAATCGTCACTTAGCCACCCTCCAACATCAATATAGAATGAGATTAAGGGAAGAATTAATAATCAAGAGGAGAAAGTAAGAAAATAACTCACAACTTTAATAAT